AATACGTCTCAGAGCCTTCTGTCTCAAGAGGAGGAGCAAAAACTTGAAATGGCGTGGGATTCGCTGTCATCGTTGAGTTCAGTAAGCAGGCTGACAGTCATCATCTGAGGAAAAGGCCTCGGTCGAACATTGCTATTCTGGAAACGTCACGTTTCTTCTCTCAAAAATGTGTGGCTAGAAACTGCAAAGGGTAACTGCGTTGTCGTTCAGTCGAGTCTCTCGGAGACTTCACGTCCGACAACACGATGCTACTTTGGACTTGATGATCAACAGGCTGATCATCATCGGTCTCAACCGTTGAAATGCTGCAGAGCAGAAACGAAAAGCAGCTGAGCGACCGGCAGTACGGAATCAGCAGTAGAAACGAAGAGAAGCAAAACCACGAAGACTTACTTTCAGTGGCAGGTTCAATGCGGACAGCTGAAGACTGCGGGCGTACGTTTTCGACCAGTCGATCGGCAGTATGTTGCCGAAATTGCCGGTCAGCGTCCACCAGATCCTGAAACAAGAACCGCATCACGCACGGGGTCGAAACGAGAAACAGCGTGCTAACACAAGGCACTTCGGCAGGCAAGCCGGCGGCGGCTGTTAACAAGTGGGGGAGGTCGGGGGGCGGGGGCGCTGGAACCGACCGAACGGAACGGGTAAGACGAAAAGACAAGGAACACTGGACGACGGCTAATCGCTTCTCTCGTTCATCGTCGCGTCTCACGCCTGTCGCCGCCTATGCGCATCTGAGGCAGAAACGAGGCTCGTAAATCACACCTCAAAGGAGGGGCGAATTCGAGACGCCTAACACTTCAAACACTGAATGATTGATTAGCAAGGTCGAACGTCTAAGTGGCTATCAGCACCACATCAGGTAGTTCGAGGCAAAGTTTTTACGCACTTTACGTATCTTTCAAGGGCTCGTGTCAGCGCGTGTCACGCCGAGCTGACCAGCGTAATACAAGCTGTTCGAAAATTCCGTTCACCCCATAAATTTAGCCTCTGTTACATTTTTCGGCATGTCTGGACGAGAGAAGGAATTCGCACGCAAAACACCCATCCGAAAAGGTTTCCGATCAGGAAGCAGGGGGTAAGCAGATGTCGTCACTACAGGTGCCATTTGTCCGCAGTACGGTCGTGGCTATAGTGTTCAGCTGTGATATTACCGTAGGGGCTGTTCCGTCTCACACATGCGTCAGTTGGCCTGCCTCTGGGGCACTGAACGTCACCGACTACAAACATTCTTTTCCTTGGAGAATTCTTACTGTCCAGCAAGGCATCTGAGAAGTTACTGTGCTGCGTAGTGAACTGCATGGTGAATATTGAATTAAACGCTATGCTAGCAGTGTCAGCCATGCTCAAAGCGAGATGGCTCTCCAGCTTTAGCAACTTTAGCAACTTAACAGCATCCAGTCTTACAACTGCATACAGTGGTAACGTTTGCCGTACCGTTTGGAAGTTCTGGTAACGAAGATCTCAGAAGTAAAAGTCCGAAAGTTTCTCCAACGGACTACGGTATCTACGTGGAAAAGCCGTACCCTTCTCTGCTGAGAATGCTACAAAGTTTAACCACAATCTACTTCTTGGCACTGTACCGGAATGTGCTAAGTCGCCAACGCGTCAATCACAGTTTCATCCTAATGAGAAGGCGCAGTTCAAGATATCCGACTAGATATATTACCGACCTGGAGAACGTATGGAATGATACGGTACTGGTGGATAATACGGAAAACGGGCTTTGTCACCTAACGACTTCTTTTCGCAACACAGTTGTGAAAGCCGGCATTTTCCTTGACGACCGGAGAGCTAAACGTTATGACGAACCCATCCGAAACGGTTGATCTATTAGTGGAACAGAGAAGGGAAGTCATAAAGAAAGAAGTTGACCAGTTCAATTACCAGGGCTCAATTACCTCTAGCGATGATACAATCCAGTCAGAATTACATAGGAGGATAGCCCTCGTATTGACTGCAAATTAAAAGCTCTCTAATATTTAAGTTGAGAAAGAGGTAACCCTTTACACCAAAATCTGTGGGTACTTTGCCTCTGTTAAGTCACTGCCATCATACGGCATGGAGACAGCTGTTTCAAAGAAAGAACAAGAACAATGGTTGAACTGCATGCAGCAACGTTGGCTTCGACGTACAGTGCGGGTCAAATGGCAGCACCCAGCAAGGAATGCCTCTATTCTTTTCCGAACACAGGTGACCGGTAGATGCGAAGATGGTGGTTGACCCTGTTAGACAAATTGACTTTGCATATGCTATTTCCTCCAGTCCGTAAGTTTCTCATGTGGCAGCCGAAACACGGCAGATGTCGACCAAGAGTCCTGCACTGAACATGGAGCAACATGGCAGAAGCAGGTCTGCTTTCAGATAGGAGTATTCCCCGTTGGTGTGCAGCATACGGTGACTTGTAGCAAATGTGCTGTAAGACTGCCAACACAGTGGACAGAGACGTTCGGTATATGCAAACAGCTCAAAGTGATGATCACGTACACATAACTCACATTTGATAGATCCTGTTGCTGAGCAAGGCCAGGCAACTCGCATGTCATTCTGCTGAAAGAGTACAGGGTATGTTTGCCACTAAGATGCAGATAGAGCATAAAAGCAACAAGATAATGGTGACTAATGACACAGAAATGGAGATTAGCACGGCACCATTTTCATTTCTTTCCCATTTTCATCACTCTTCCCCATTTTCTTTCCATTCAGACTTGTAAGCATTTCACTTCCGAAGTACCGGAACCATTGGTTCTTCAGGCACTGGGTCTATTTTCATGTGCAGAGGATATTTCATCCAAAAATTAAACTGATTGGTCATTCAGTTTCATTAGCCATGCTGAGCGAACCACGTTCACCGTACCTGACAATGCCTATTCATCTGCGGCACAAAACTTGCGCGTGTTTGGAATATGTTCAGTCAATAAGGAACATGACCAACTTACATGAAAAGGTAAAGCCACTTGAAAACGCGAATCCTCCGGAGGGAAAATCCCGCACAATTACTCGCACTCGGTCGAAAGACCGTCCTCTGCGCCGATGGCAAATCGATTCGCAGTGGACAACAGCCACGCGGCCACAACCGAATCGTTGACCTATTGGAGGCCGTCCGTGTAATTAGATCATTAGCCGAGGCAGCGACGACTATTGACAGCACCAAGCGCGCGGCCTCTAATGGTCAACGATAACATCTCATTGATTGCCTGTCGCCATACTGGACCGGCCTCACTGGACTCAACTGCCAGCGAGGCAGTTCTGCTTGAAAGTCGTCAGTGAAGCAACTGGGTCAGATACATACATATACTGGGTATACTCTACATACTCGGTTATAAATTAATAATGCCCTAGTTGCGTTCCGCTGTTGTACTTTCTGGTCATTGCCGCTCGTCGCAAAACAAACCGTGTGCTGTACAAAAATATGCCATTGAAATATTCATGATGTTCGCAATCAAATTTCAGGCCAGCAAAGTACAAGGATCATGTTTGCTAAAACCTAGTTCCAGTAGCACGAATCCTACCGTAGTCGCTGACGATATGCATGGTAAATTTTGCAGAGTCAAATATTGACGTAACATTACGTTTCATACTGAACCAATGAAAAACTGACTTAAATTAATAAATACTTTTCTGAATGGCAACTTACTTTATTAGAGCATAGAGTAATTTATGAATAAATCACAATGGATGCATATAAAAAGTCAGCAATCTGGCATATTGTGGGAAGCCTACGATTTCCGTGGAATCGACGGCCCACCTCCTTATGACGCTGTGTATCGACTGGTTTGAACGACTAGAATTTCTTCCAGCTTTCACAGTTTCCGTTCATATTGTATTATTCTTTAAGGAACAGATGTCGAGACTTTTGAACAGACAAAAAGATAATTCAAAATTGCGGAAATCTGACAAGGCTACGGCAAAAATTAGTTTGTTATATATGACATACCTCGCGTTTTTGACCATGTGAGATCCGTTTTCAGGAAGGTAGTGAAGAATGGATTATCAGTATGTATAGTTTTAATGAAGCCACCGAATTTAAACATAAAGATTACTTTTCATAGTGTCGGTTATACTCCTTAGCGTGATCGGTGATCGGTGATCTTCAGCAGAAGCCTCCACTACAATACAGGCAATGGTTTTCTAGAGTTTACAAATACTGATTTGTTTAAAGATACATTTTCTTTTAATTATTTAAATCGTTCGGTTCGAATTCAGCAGAGCGCAATCACTGTTAAATCTGAAGTAAGATCCGTAACAATGTTGTATCTCTAGGCGAATGGCGAGTCACCGATGCGTAGTGTCACACTCAATGGAATTGCCTTTCCGTTTCTTTGGATGACAAGCTCTGTTTTGATAGGGAGGTAGCGGCTAATCTTGATCCATTCTGAATGTCTTGGGTACTAAGGCAAGGTTGCAAGATTAGGATGATGAGTTTCTAATGAGGGACGCGAGTTCAAATAGCATATGCTAAATTTATATTTACGAATGCTTTTGTTATTCTTATCAAAGATCCCATGTACGTGTAACGTCGACACAGACTTCAGACGATGATCAAAGTAGTTACGAAGTTACGCCACGATAAAATGCTGCGGAATATCGAAATTTCTCCACATGCGACACGCTCTTGGAGACCCATCATCGCTACCACATATTAACCTAAGGCAGGAGGTTAATATTTGCATTAGGATAATATAAGGTTATGTGTTAATGCAATGTGTTAATACTTGCTGCTAGGAGCTAACTCCAGTTCCTATTCACCATGTTCAAAGAACGAGTCAGAGACTGAGAAGAGTACAAGCTCTGCCACACGGCAGAACCCGGAGAATGGTTGAAAGAATTGAAAGAATTTAATCGAACGAATCAATAACAAATGGCAACAAAAGATGGTAGACATGTACTGCCGGTGCTAAAATACTTCGAAATCGGGAACTGCTTAAATCTGTTCGCTACCCAAATCAGAACAAACGGAGTGCGACTACGCTGTGTCAATCTGGAGAAGTTACTGGGGATGTTAGACGACTCATTCTCGTCCATAAATGCATACTGTGCTGTTTTGCAATAACTTCCAAAGGAAGTTTCAAAGGGAATGATTTTACTACGGTTCGAAAATCAGTTATTTTGACTCGTCCTGGTTAGAGGTGAGCCAAAAACGCGTCGACAATCCTGCAGTATTCTCTGTTCACGACTTTTTCTGCCTTCACAGCCGGCTAAATAATTTGGCCATCGGATCGACTCAAGGCGTTCTTGATCGACCCATTGGACGGTTATAGAAACCCAAAGGAACTGAGTTTGTAATTTTTGAGGTTCATGCGAGCCATAAGTCCTGCCATCCTCACTTTCTCTTGTCGTCGCGAAAGGCAGAAATCGCGCCTTTAACCGAATCCGGGGTCAGACTTGTGCGCTCGGAAGCTAATCCTAAAGGGACACCTTGCACACTGTCGTTCACGGCGTGGCTATCGGTCTGTTCTTCTCGGTTTTAACAGCAAACTGACATTCAGCGATGTAGATCGAGGTGGTTCGATGGTGGTCGAATCAAACGGCTTTTTCTTCACTCGCATGGGGTGCTAGTTGTCTGGTAGTGATTTCACCAACCGCGGTTAAAGCTGACCCGTGCCGCCGCCCGTCTTCTCCTAATTCCCCCGTGTAAGAACTTCATATGGTTCACGTGACGGGCCAGGAATACATAGATGATGACTTCATCGAGTTCTTCCCCATTCTCGTAGACAGAGTCATTGGCACAGTGCTCGTTTCGCACGCATTTCGTGTTGCTTACAGAGGTCAATCACTAATTTGATGGCGAGAGAGATTCTTCTTGCAACTGTTACACCTTCGTTCGGAGCTCCGTCGTGTCTGCAGCGAAGACGATGCAGCTGTCCCCAATAATAAATGCGTTAGCTGCTATCTGACAACACTGATTCCGTTACACCAGTTTAGTTAGTTAAAAAGTAACATGCCATTTACCTCTGATGAAAATAGTTCATAAAAAATTTATTAAAACGACCTCTAATATTTATCATTTGTAGATTCACAGTTAAAGGCAACAACCTATAAAGGATTATGTAATTTCCTTGACCCACCTATGCGTTTCGACAGCGATTAAGACAACCCTGATGAAGAAGGTTGTGCACCGAGTCGGTGAATAAAGAAAATTACATCATACTTTTTAAATTATTGCTTTGAACCATGGAT